ATATATATATAATATTAATACACTACGCCATTAACCTGCCATCGAAGAACAGAATACCAAAAAATTGCAATGGCAGTTGAATAGTATCTCGATGGCTAGCCACTGACGAACGATTACTCCAGATTGGTCTAGTGCGAGATGAGGACTTACAAGTCTTTCAGAAATGTGCGAGGTAGCTAGGTGGTGCGAGGATGAGTAGCGGACTCTTTTCAGCTGTGCGCGACTGGGGTGAGCGGAGGCGATGGCCAGCGAGCTCGCGTACCTCACACGTTCCTCGCTCACATCTCTCACTTTTTTAAATAAAGATAAGATAAATAGGCACTAGATAAATTTAATAAATAATATTTAGCTCTGCTAGCCCCTTATCCACCAGACCTGCGCTAAGCGAGGCTAGGAAAATGAAATGATCCTATTCAAATCAGCGTCACAGCCTTTTCTCGCCAGTGCCTTTTCTCGGCGGTGACATTAGCTGAGTGAATCCTTTTACATACGTCACAGCTGCACACATGACATCTACTTAGTACACAATAGTGTTGAAAACTTAATGTTTTTGCTTTGTTGTCACTTCATTACCGATTATTCAGATTTTATTTTTATTAATTCTTTTTGTTATTCTATTTTATTTTTGTTTAAATTTAGCTTTATCTTTTTTTTATCTTTCTTTCTGTGTATTTTTTGTGTTGTGACGTTTTGTAATAAATGGTTAAAACACCGCCAAGCCACCTCGCACATCTCTGGTGGAAACGCAGCCTTAGAAGGGTTTTCTGGACCTTTTCTCCACTTACCTCCAATACACGATCACAACTACCACAGCAGCTAGCAAGGCGAGTGGCAGCACAGCCAAGAGCGCTGCGGTGCTGACGCCGCGGGCTGCCGCGCGCATATCACCCGGCGTCAGCGGTGACGACTGCGCGGCACATAACTCGCTCGAAACTTCCTGTAAATTGTAAGGAAGAATAACCACTTATAATACGCTAATTATTTACCTTACAATTACAGGTACACTGAACTGTATTTTATAAACTAAAGTAAGTTTTTCCAAAGGTGCACGAAAGGGAGGCTCTGTTGCGAATCACGCGATGATCAATCATTTACTGAGTACACGAACTTCACCCAATTTTTGTATTGTGGTAACACTGCTTTGCCTTTGCTAACTTGCTATTTTGACACGGAGTAACGTCAATGGCAATGGCGGGAACCGAGTGCACTTCAGTTTGATTAATTATTTAATTTAATATTTTAAGAACCTACGTTTATATCCTGCTGTTTATGTACAATTCACTTTGCTACACCCCGACGGGGTATGTTTGTACTTAGTATGTAATGCTTGTACCAACATTATTTGCAATAAATAAATAAAATAAATAAAATAAACCTAAAAATATGGGTGTGTAAGTGAATGTACACTAAGAGATAAACAATTGCTAAATCCCTCTATGTACCGTTTAACATTACAACATGTATAGACATATTGGAAAGACACACATCTAACTTAATTGTCGAGTTTGATATTGTAACAATACATGTTCTACGTTGGGCGCAATATAAGTTTCCGTAACGAATAAAAAAAAATATATAAATGGTCAGAAATTAACTTATTGTTTCTCAAAATATTCTACGTTAGCGTTAATGCACTTTTTTATAAGAATGAACCAATTTTGAAAACATTTATGCCACTCCTCCGTGTCAATCTCTGAAACATATTTTTCATACTCTTCGAGGCAGTTGATGATAAAAATCGTTGACCCCGTAACTAATTCTTAATTTTTGGAAATAATAAAAGTCACAAGGTGCCAGATCGGGACTGTACGCGGGATGGCTCATAAGGTCAACGTTGTTCACCTTCAAAAATTCATTTGTCTGTCTGGCCGTGTGAGAACTGGCATTATCCTGGTGCAAGATGATACGGCGTTTACGGTTCGTTTTACGGAGTTTGTCAATAATTTCCGGCATAGAAATGGTCTTGTACCGATCACTATTGACGGTACAACGATTCTCCAAAGCAACAGAAGCCACGTATCCAGTTTTATTAAAAAAAGAAGCAATCGTCCGCTTGGAGGCACAACCGCTCATCTCGAAAGACCCATACGCTCAATTGCTGCTTTGTTTTGGGATCGTAACTATAAATCCATGTTTCGTCACTTGTTACTATGTCCCACACCAAATTTGACGCCCGTTCGTTGAATCTGGTAAGCATGGCGTTGCACCAAGGACGCGATCCGTTCGGATCCCACAGTGTGGGATGTAGACAACCAATTTCTAAAATGACGTTACAATGTAAAAACAAGTGACAGTCAGATGAAACAAACTGTATTCTACAGCCAAAGAGTTCCATTTTCAAATATTGTAATTACTTTTTAAATATTGTTTATGTAAGTGGCCAGTTCCGGAAACTTACAGAGCGCCCTATGTACGGCTATAAATTTGCGACGTGCTGACTCGACCCGCAGCAGGACTAGCCTCATTGATGCTTACGACTGTGGGCGCCTTTTGTTGGCATCAATCGGGTCGGTAGTAGGTGGCAGGTACGCTTGCACCGGGATTACTAGCCATCGAAGTTTAACCCACTTGGGTCAGTGGTTGGACAAAAGGGGAGGCTGGAGGTCCACTCGGGGCACCTCTCACGGTGTCCCGCCCCAGTACAAGGATGAGATGTGCTGGGGGTTTATACGCGACATACGAGGCGCGACGACGTAGCTTTCCTTACTTGTAAGTCTGGCGTATCCTAGACAACAATCAACGAGTACCTTACACAAGCCTTATAGTGTACGCCGTCGATACGATAAGAAGGGTTTCCAAATACTGCTACTTCATTGCTATGCGGTTAAATATCTGCGGTAAAGAACGGCGTTTGTGCGAGTAAGCGGCGTGACGTTGCAGCGTAAGTTAGTGATTGCATGTAAGTGTTTCTTGTTTATGTCTCAGTGTGTGTTAGTTGCCTGAGGTAGAATCGAAGGAGAAAGCGGTGCAGAGGATACAACCGGTTTTATATTTATATATTAAAGATATTTATTTATAACATTACTTTAAAACAGAAAAAATCCTTTGATCTGATTGAACCAGTGTCTATTGCCATGCCGAGGCAATCACTCTTAACAAACATTTTTTTTATGATATCAAGTTACGGGACGAATAAGTCGTGCGCCTGATGGTAAGCTACACGCTTGTCCATAACAGTTGCTGTGCGACTCAGAGCTTTAAATCGCAAAGATATGAGGGGCACTGCCACTGCGCCTGTCACCATTGACAATTTCCTTGTGTAACACAACCCCACGACCAATCCAGTCTTACTTTGTGTTGTTCGATGGAGGAATTTTTCTTCGTATTGATCGACCTTAGAATAACAAACTAGTGGAGCTCACAAAAAAATATATGAATATCATTGTAGTAAAGCATCATGATATTCAATTTTTTTTTTTAATAAAGAACTACAGTGGAACTCAGACAACTACCCGATGACTCACGTATTAGAGTAGATTTTTTTTGCTTGACATATTTCAAACCAATCTGGGTCATTAATCAGGCCGTGACTCGACGAAAACGCCGCGGAAGTTCACGATGAAGGACCACGGACCACTTCGAAACACGTTCAGGAAAAAAAATACTATTTTCAAATTAATTTCCCGAAATACAAAAATGATAAGCTCAGTACTAAAAAACTGACCTCAAAAGTTCATGGAATTACACTTGTGTGCCCGGTTTTATTGAAATCGGTTACCGGAAAGTGCTCGAAACCGGGTTCATCTCATAGTTTGCCACTTTAAAGGTGAACTATTTTCTTCCAATTGTAACAATTAAATAAAGTCTTTTCTTTAAATAGGCCCTCTACTGAAGTACCCTCTTTCCAACAATAAAAGAATCATCGCGTAACACGCATACAAAAAAAATACAAGCGAATTGAGAACCTCCTCCTTTTTTAAAGTCGGTTAACAAACAAAACACACACATGACAATTTTTTTTAACGCACACACTCAACTTATCCCCGCACTAGTGAAACCCTGTCTCGCGGGTGCCATGGAAACACACATAGACAACCAAAAATGACACCCAAACTCACGAGAGAAATAAATGTAGGCCATACAAATATTTCTCCCAGCCCGGGAAACGAACCTGGGACCTCTGCCTCAGCCACAGAGGCAGTTAAATACCATAGTATTATCTCAAAAATTGCGTTTTATATTTTATTTTATTCTCAAAAACTGCATTGTATGTATGTCATTCGCATACGAGTCAGATCCCATACGATTTAATTGCAAAATGGCTGGACAACACTCTCCTCAAACCTGAAATGTTACTTACGGTTTTATTACCAAGGTAGCAAAACTCCTGGGAAATAATGTCTAAGATCACTCTCACTGTTCAAACTTTAGAAGGTTCTTTTTCTAAATTGGTTCTATAAAGGAAAATAACATAACACCTTTATCATAATGCACATAGGAGCTAAGAGATCGTTATAATCGGTGTAAAATATAGAAATTTACTTACACACATTACTATTACAAATTATTAGGGTTTCACACTATTAGAATTAGCAAAAACATATAAAAATCACAACAAGGAAATGTGTGGCTTCAATAGACGTCAATTTGTAAATGATACAATTTGAATGATTTTCCCTGTACATAATATGCTTGATTGTTATGAATACATAACACAAGGCAGATCGATATTAAATACTAGCTATCTACTACGACTTTGTTCGCGAATTAAACCCATCATCATAGATACACGCCATTTCTTTTTTCTTCTTTTTTTATTAAAAACATAAGTGCGCATTTGACCTCCATCTCATTTGATGAAAAGTGGCGATAAGGTCAACGATGGAGCCCACCTAAATGCCTGTTCACTCTCGCGTTGAAAAGGCAGTAATAATACCGTTCAGGGAACAAGTCTGCAGGCAGGGAATTCCACTCCATAGTCCCTCGCCATTTAAATGTGGAAGAGAAGCGCTTCGTAATCGTGCAATTCCTTTGCACATTTTTTTATTCTTTATTTTTAATGAAGAATGGAAACACAGCTGCGCGTTAGAGGCACCTTGTGGCTCTAGGACGTAACTATACCAAAATCGCTAATGACACCGCGTGTCGTATAGGACGCGTGACAGGTCTATCACTAAAATAAGTAAATAGTTATCCTAATAAATTTATATCGCCAAGGATAAGGATCTAAATCGTTAACCCTTAACTTATTTTCATTCTAAGCGTACACGGTGAAAATACGCCAAACCTTGTAGATAAGTCACCACTATCCGAACAAAATGTCCTTAGTGCTTTTCATCAATATGCCTAAAGCACCCTATAGACGATTCAATTTGCTTGTTAAATTTACCCTTCAAGCTTCGCATTTCGAAATCAAAGATCAAACCATTTTGACAAATTTGACCGGAGTTCAAACTCAGCCATCTCCTTATATAATCGTACCACTAAAATGAGTAATAAATAATACGGATAAAGCGTTGCTGGCATTAAATCGTTACTTAACGTTACGACCACAGATAAATATACTTATATAAGCATATTTACACATATAACACGTTGAGCAAAAATTCGACTTAATAATTGTTTTTTTATCATACCAAATGACGGGCCGAACAAGTCCTGCGCTTACCACCAAGGTAAGCGACACGCCTGTCCATAACAGTTGCAGTGCCACTCAGAGCTTTAAATCGCAAAGATATAATGGGCACTGCCACTGGCGCCTGTCACCATTGACAAGTTCCTTGTGTTACAGACCAATTCAGTCTTACTTTGTGTTGTTCGATCGAGGAGTTTTTCTTCGTATTGCTCGATCTTAGAATAACAAACTAGTGGAGCTCACAAAAAATATATGAATATCATTGTAGTAAAGCTTAAAGTTAATAGAAAACTACAGCGAAACTCAGACAACTACCCGGTAACTCACGTATTAAAGTCGATTTTTTTTTTGCTCGACATATC